CAAACTGGAGGAGGAGCAGGAAGATGCAGTACAAGCTCCTTCCCCCTCCTCCCTGTTTAGGGCCCCACGGTGGCAAGGGGGGGGCAATCTTTCCCTTTGCTCCCCCCAGGCGCATAACACCCTCGCTATACCTCTGAGGACAGTGAGCTCTAATGGGATGGAAGGGAGGGAGAGCAGATGGGGAGAGCCCAGAGGAGGGGTGCACAAGGGGGTGAGTGAAGGGGGAAGCAACGACATGGGGTCCTGGGGAAAGAAGAGGTAAGGGTGAGAATCCAAAACAGGGAAGGGGGGTGGGATCCTGGACGACAAGGGGTGGAGGGGGAGCGGGCAAGATTGGTCGGGGGGAGAGTGAGGAAGGGGCAGGGATGAAGCGACAAGCACTTTGCACAGGCAGCTCCCATTGGTTAGAAATTGGCCAATGGGATTGTGCTGGGGGTTGGGGCGGCGTGTGAAGCGCCACTCCCCGTTCTCCCGGGCTCACCGCTGAGAAAGAAAAACAGCTTCAGCCACTGCTTGTCTGAGCGAGGGGCAGGGGGAAGTAGGGAGCCTACCGTAGGCCGGATCCAATGTCTTGCTCAGGGTCTGTTTTGGGACCAGTTCTATTCAGTATCTTCATCAACAATCTCTATATTGGCATAGAGAAGACACCTATTAAGTTTGCAGATGATCCCAAGCTGGGAGAGGTGGCGAGTGCTTTGGAGGAGAGGGTGAGAATTCTCGCTGATCTGGACGAACTGGAGAAATGGTCGGAGGTCAATAGGATGAAGTTGAATAAGGACAAATGTAAAGTGCTGCACTTAGGAAGGAACAATCCGTTTCACACACACAGAATGGGAAGCGACTGTCTAGGAAGGAGTCCGGCCGAAAGGGATCTAGGGGTCAGAGTGACCCCCTAGCTTGCGAACAGGAGCAGCAAACAGGGAGTTTTGAGAGGGAGTTTGGAAGGGGCCAAGGTTCTCTTGACAGTCTTTATAGTTTAAAGGTTTTGATAATAAGTTCCTGTTTTAACTAGAAACCTTATCGATCCAACTCATTCATAGGAAAAATGCAGACAGAAGCCCACTCTTTCTTGTGTTGAGTGTAACATGAAAGATTACCTGCCCTGTGGGCGGGTGGCGTACGTGTGCACCCGTTGCAAAGAGCTCCTGACCCTCAGAGACCGAGTTCAAGCTTTGGAGGCCAGGGTGGCTGAACTGGAGGAGCTAAGGGAGGTAGAGAGATATGCTGATGAGACTTTCCGGGACACTGTAGTACTGTCCCACCTCCAGTCTGAGAGCCCCAGTGCTCTTAAGGAGGATGAAAGTCTCAGGGGAACAGAGCATTCAATGAGAGCAGAGGGAAACCATTCCATAGTTAGGACTCTCCTTCCAAAGGATGTTGCGGTATCCTCTCACACTGAGGATACCTCTGAGGGGGAGGGAACGCCAGTTGTTAGGAAGAGGCAGGTGTTAGTAGTGGGTGATTCGATCATTAGAAACATAGATAGTTGGGTTTGTGATGACCGGGAGAACCATATGGTCACTTGCCTGCCTGGTGCGAAGGTTGCAGGATCTCTTGAGGCATCTAGATAGACTTATGTGTACTGCTGGGGAGGAGCCCATGGTCGTGGTACATGTAGGTACCAATGATGTAGGGAAGGGTAGGAGAGATGTCCTGGAGGCCAAATTTAGGTTGCTAGGAAAGAGACTGAAATCCAGGACCTCTATGGTGGCATTCTCGGAAATGCTTCCAGTTCCGTGTGCAGGGCCAGGTAGGCAGGCAGAGCTTCAGAGTCTCAATGCGTGGATGAGACGATGGTGTAGGGAGGAGGGATTTAGATATATTAGGAACTGGGGATGCTTTTGGGAGAGGGGGAGCCTATACAGGAAGGATGGGCTCCACCTAACCCAGGGTGGAACCAGACTGCTGGCACTAAACATTAAAAACGCCGTAGAGCAATTTTTCAACTAAGAGATGGGGAAAGCCGATTGGTGCAGAGAAGCACGTAAATCCGATGGAGACTTCTCTAAGAGGAGAATCCATTGATAGAGATTCTCTAGGCTGTAGTCAGAAGGGGTATGTCTAGTTCGAACTAGGGTGGCTAATGTAGTCATTTGAACTTGCAAATATCCCGGGCTTTATTTGCATGTTCCCGGGCACCGCCATTTTTAAATGCCTGGTAGTTCGAACTCCCTACCCGCGGCTACACACAGCACGGTCTAGGTAGTTTGAACTAAAGCCCCTAATTTGAACTATCTTTACTCCTCCTGCAATGAGAAGCAGGAAGCCTGCTAAAACACCAGTGGGTCCCCAGATGATCGAGATACAAAAGGAGCAATCAAGGAGAAGCTAAATGATTTCTTTGCTTCAGTCTTCACAGCTGAGGATGTTAGGGAGATTCCCAAATCTGCACTGTCCTTTGTGGGTGATGAATCTGAGGAACTGTCCTGGATTGAAGTGTCATTAGAGGAGGTTTTGGAACAAATATAAACTTAACGTTAACAAATCGCCGGGACCGGATGGCATTCATCCAAAGATTCTAAAAGAACTCAAATGGGAAATTGCAGAACTATTATCTGTGGTTTGTAACCTATCCTTTAAATCGGCTTCCATACCTGATGACTGGAAGGTAGCTAACGTGACACCAATATTTAAAAAGGGCCCTAGAGGAGATCCTGGCAATTACAGACAGGTAAGTCTAACTTCAGTACCGGGCAAATTAGTTGAAACAATAGCAAAGAATAAAATTGTAAGGCATGTAGAAGAACATAATTTGTTGGACAAAAGTCAACATGGTTTCTATAAAGGGAAATCATGTCGTACTAATCTATTAGGGTATGTCTACACTACAGCACTAATTCGAACTAACTTAATTTGAATTAGTTAATTCAAACTAAGCTAATTCGAATTAGTGCATCTAGACCTAAAAACTAATTCGAATTAGCGTTTTGCTAATTCGAAATAGCATGTCCACATTGAATGGACCCTGAACTGAAGTTAAGGCTGGCCGGAACCAGGACTTAGAGTGTGGAGCTGTTGCCTCAGGCTAGCCGAGGGCTGTTCTTAAAGGGACCCGACTCCCACCCCAGACAGACAGTTCTCAGGGTTCCCCTCTTGCTTGTCTACCTCAATGAGGACAGCAAAGCAGTCCTGTCTTGGAGTGCCCTGAGTGCCCGCACTTGGCAGATCACAGCACTCGGCCATCAGCCCGGCTGCACTTGCCGCAGGCTGCCATCCGGGGGGCTCAATCGGGGGGCTGTCAGGATCCAGAAAAAGGCAACTAAAATGATGAGGGGTTGGGAACAGGACCCATATGAAGAGAGGCTAAAGAGACTGGGACTTTTCAGCTTAGAAAAGAGGAGACTGAGTGGGGACATGATAGAGGTCTATAAAATCATGAGTGGTGTGGAGAGGGTGCATGAAGAAAAATTCTTCATTAGTTCCCATAATATAAGGACTAGAGGACACGAAACAAAATTCATGGGTAGCAGGCTTCAAACTAATAAAAGAAAGTTCTTCTTCACAAAGCAAATAGTCAACCTGTGGAACTCCTTGCCACAGGAGACTGTGAAAGCTAGAACTATAACAGAGTTTAAAGAGAAGTTAGATAAAGTCATGGAGGTTGGGTCCATGGAGTGCTATTAGCCAGGGGGTAGGAGTGGTGTCCCTGGCCTCTATTTGTGGAAGGCTGGAGATGGATGGCACGAGACAAATGGCTTGGTCATTGTCTTCGGTCCATCCCCTCCAGGGTACCTGGTGTTGGCCGCTATTGGCAGACA